GTTTTGATTTCTTTCTTAGGTGTCATCAAGGGTAAGCTGAATGGATTTCAGTGGTCTCTGGAGTTGATCAGTTCAGCTGTTGATACCCTGCAAAGGCTTTGTAGAGCGTCTGCAGAGACAGCGGTGGAGGAAGAGGTATGGCCACAAACTCTGCTTGATATGTTTCTGACTTATTTGTACTCAGACATGTTATTCTGTTTCAGAGTTTGAGGAGTGTTCTCTATAGATAGAGGACCTCTAAGGATGTGTAGTCCCCAGTGGCTATTGCTACAACAAGGCAATGCTATGTGAGTAGCTCTTGATGTTCCCCAAGAAGATCTGGCTGCTAAAGATACGTGGTCCCTAAGGTAGTCACCACCTTGGTTCCAGGTTAGTCAGGCATGCCTGCCGATTGACACTCGTTTCCTGGTGAGAACTCTGCAAGGTTATCTTTTGATAAGTTGTGGCCCAGATGCTTGTGATACCTTTGGATATCCTTCTCCTTCATTGCCACCCTCGTTCCAAGAACAATTAATGGACAATTTTCCACCTAATCAGGGAGTTCCCTCCAGTCCAGATTTCTGATCTTTTGATGAGTCATAATTCTGGAAAATGCCTGTCCTGTTACTATGATGTTACATTTCTCAAATATCTCTTGCTAGTATCATGTCCCAAAAGTGCCCACAGCCTACAGCTGATGTTTTTATATATGCATAAACACAAAGCCAACTCAGGGATTTATGTGAAGTAGAGATTTACTTTGACTCTCTAAAAGGTATCCATATCAGTATCTCTAAGAAATAATTTTATTACCATGTATTCTGTTTTTGTCATGAGATATACTCTTAGTGCTAATCATAATGAAAAAATTCAGGGCTGGAGGTTATTAATAATGATTATAGAAATCAAAAATTAATTTAAATAATTGCTGAAATATATTTAAGTTTTCCAGAAAAAAAATGATTGCTTCATCTAAGCTGCCTAGCTACCTTCCTGTGCTTCCTTTTCTTACATAAATTCATTAGAAAAAGTCCTGCTTTAGTATGTTGAATTTTCTACTTACTATAACAGGTCTGATAAAACAATGTATTGCAACATTTTTGCTGGAGACTCAGGTTGGAATTCACTTAGCAAAGCATTACTGAGCTATTTCTTATGTAAATGTTGTCTGGTGTTTTCCAGGTATCTACCTTTCATCACTTATACTGGTGAAAGGGATACTTGCATTATTTGATTTTTCTAACACTTTATCTCAAGACCCAAGAAATTATATGAAAAACTTTTAAATAAGAAACATGACCTAAGTGGGAGGATATTTGAATATCAAATAGTGAAAAAAAGAAAGCTGATACTCTAGTAAGTCTAGTAAGAATGAAGAGGAAATGATACAGGGAAAAATTGTGAAAAATTTAGATGGCAGATTATGAAACTGCAACCCTGCAAGGTTCAGTGGCACACAGCTTGCTAATGGCGGAGCTAGGGCTAGAACTGAGTTCTCTGATCCCTTCCAAATGTTCTTTCACCAGCACTGTCTGGAAAAAGAATTACCTGTATGTTGGGAAGTCAGGGCCATAAGAAGTCATTTGCTGCTTACTAATGGCCTGTAGTCATTAGGACAGTAGGCTATATTGTTGTCAGAGCCTGTGAGGAAGGCAAGAGTTGTCTTCAGATTTAGAAACTGAGAGCTAGAAGAGGGGTAGAATTTACTACTATGTTAGAAAAATGGCCACAGTTTTAGCTTTGCTGACATTACCTCCCTTGGTGATCAATGAAGGAATAAGACCCTGATATTTTCCTGGATTCTTAGGATATTTTAAACCCATAGGACCTGTTTCCCCTAAACACACTACTCTTTTTCTTTTCTTTGTAAATGAACATTCTTTATTTTACTGAGAACAAATTATCCAAAGAATATATACATGGTCAAGATACAGCTCAGCAGCAGTGTATTATATATGAGAGGACTTAGGTCTTTGGGCATTTTTGTTATCTGTAAGCTTGGTATGAGTTAATAGTGTTTTGTGGCTATCATTAAAATATCAATGAGGTCTTAGACTGTATTAATAGGAATAGTGTGTAGAATAAGAGGAGTGATGGTCCTGCTCTTTGTCCTGGTTAAATCTAACTTGACACACTCTATAATTCAGTATCAGTGACGTTTCAGAGAAATGTTGATAAAATTCAATGTACTAGAGGAGAGGAATTAGGTGAGGGGGTTACAAAGCAAGTTGTGTGAGGAATAGCTGATGCACCTTGGGTGTTTAGCATGAGGAAGGGAGGAATTATGTGGGATAGGCTGCCTAGCTAAATCCAAAATATATGAAAGACTTATGTAGAAAAGAGTTGGATTTATTTGGCATTTCTAAGGACCAGTCTGGACCAATGGGTAGAAATTGCAAGGGGACAAATTTTGGCCAACTGAAGAAAAAACTTAACTGTGGTCTGTCTAACATGGAGGGGCTTTCCTGAGAACCTGTCCCTAGTCATCAGAGGCATTCACGAGAAGCCAGGCAACACCTTGGCATGAGCTGCTTTGTGGAGAGAATCCAGGATTGGATGGCCTTGACAGCTTTCCTGGATTCTGTCCCAAGTTCTAGTCTTGAGGTCTCACACACATTGTCCTTTGTCTCATCGGGATAAAGCATATGGATTTTGGAAGCTCTCCAGGCCAACATCATGGCCCAAATTGTGCAGTCTATTAAAATCTTAAGTGCAGCAGTTCTTTTAAAAGTAATAAAGACAGTAGTTTTAAACATGTCGGGCCAGGTCAGACTAAAATCATTTTGCTCGTAATGCTGGTTTGCCAGCAGTTTGGCCAACAGTCTTGGACATCATGTCATGGTGGTGCTGCTGGCCCTGGACGGTGGTTCACACAGGGTCCTTCCCAGGCTGCCTGCGGTGTAGCAGGGATGCGTGCATGCAAAGAGACAATTCCAGTGTACTGTAATCGTTCCTGAGATGAAAGTAGGCATAGAGGAACGTGGAAGGAATGGAATGGAGGCCCTTAGCTCAACTCAAGTATTTTGAAACCCCCTTCTAAAGAAAATGAAGTCCTAGCATTCTAGAATGTGGTTAGGAGCTTTCTTCCTTGGCATCTAGGTGCAGTTAGATGTTGTGCACTAGAGGCGACCCCTTGAAGTTAATGTAACCAGTCAGAAACACTGAAAACTTGTCCCTAATGAAGAAATGTCAAAAGAAAAACAACTGTTCTTTTCATTTTATGTCTTTTAAAAATAAAGTGTTTATCCTAGTAATTAATTCACCACCTGCATATGCCAGGAGAACGATAACTGTTTTCTCTGTTGTCGGAGGAGCATTGCTATTACAGATCTCTTATAAAGTAGGGTGCTAGATCTTCCTGAATACTTACCTTTTGCCTGTGTAGGGCAAACAGAGAAGGAAAGATGATATAAACACTGTTCTTTGCAAATTCTGCTTAGCCACTTCTCGTGGCCAGACTGCTAAAAGCATGTCCTTGTGGTTTTGGACAAATTATGGGAAAGAGCAGGCCTTACGGCATATCCACTCGAAGATTGCAGAGTTTCTTCTGTGAATGTGTCTCATGGGTCATCTGGGAGACGTGAGACCCTTCAGAGATGACTTTTGACTTGCCGTAGGAGCTCCTGAAGCAGGTGTGTGGGGATGTGCTCTCCACCTGTGAGCATCACCTGGCCAACATCGTTCTGAAGGAAGGTGGAGCAGGAAACCTGGACGAAGATCTGCTGGTAAGCAGCTGCTGTTGCTAACCATTCTTTTCTCTTCCTGATAGCAGCAAGGTGTTATTAAAGATGATTTTGTAATGTGTACCTTAAATGCCATTAACAAGAAAAGAGCCCTCCTAGCCTAGAGCTTACTCTCTTTTTAGAAGAATTTTTTTTGTTGATAACCTGTTTATGTTTGACCTAAGTGGGAGGATATTTGAATATCAAATAGTGAAAAAAAGAAAGCTGATACTCTAGTAAGTTAAAATGATGTCTAGCTGGCATCAGATGAGCCATGAGCTAGGAACCTGTGCCAGAGGAATCCTGGGGCCAGAAGTTGATGCCCTTTCAGTGAGGGGCTGATCTGAATAGTTTTGTGTATTTATAGTGACAATTCTACCTTCCATCTTTTTTTCTAGCCGCTATCTAAATAAGGCTTTTCATATCTGGTCCAAGAAAGATAAATTTTCACCCACTTTTATAAGCAACGTGATATCTCACACTGGCATGGGACATTCTGCACCAGCCTGGATGCTGCTCTCCAAGATTGCTTGCTCATCACCCAAGCTCGACTACACCAAAATAATAGAGTCCTGGGAGAAAATCAGTAGGTTTGTATGCTTATAATTTAGCCACTGATGGACACTCAAGATTCTTGGAAACAAAGCTTATGTGTTAAGGAAGCGGCCTATTTCATAGCTATTTGTATATTGAAATTTTTTTCTTTAACACCTGGCTTAAAAACAAACAGAAAAAATAAGAATCAGGGCCCACATGGCGGCTCATGGCTGTAATCCCAGCACTTTGAAAGGCCAAGGCCGGAGGATCACTTGAGGCCAGGAATTTGAGACCAGCCTGGGCAACATAGCAAGACTCTGTCTCTACAAAAAATAAAAGAATTAGCCAGGTGTGGTATCCCACACCTGTTGTCCCAGCGACTTGGGAGACTGAGGTTGAAGGCTTGCTTATGCCCAGGAGTTCGAGGTTCCAGTGAGCTGTGATCATGCCATTGCCCTCCAGCCTGGGTGACAGTAAGACCCTATCTCTTTTTTAAAAAAAAAGAAGAAAGAAAGAAAGAAAACTAAGGATCACTTTTAAGCTGGCAGTTTAGTCTTTGTCCAAGTACATCAAGTGCCTGATGTTCCCACAGGTTGACTCCTGAAGCATGCTACCTACCCTACTTCTTCCAATATTAATAATCCTGAACAAAAGGCACTTTTTGGTACCAATGTTTAATTTGGTTCTCTCTTAATATTTCTCCTGCCCTTTCTCTAGTCAACAGAACCCCAATTCAGACACCTTAGGACATATTCT